TGTCTATAGGTGATTAGTAGGCTTAAAACTTGGCCAACAAGGAGGCCATGTATTGACATGTTGATCACTTGTAGCACAAGTTGGACATATGGCATACACCTAAGAAACTTGCCTTAAAAATTAGATATGTGTCTTGTAAGTTGGACGCGTATTAGAAGTCTTATAGCATGTCGCCATATATTTCTTAATTAAGTAGTATATATAGAAGCAAGAGTGAGGCCTTCTTCACTCTTGTCAACTCCTTTCTTGCTTTTAGTCTAGTTTCAAGAGTCTTAAGTTTTTTAATCTTTGGCAATAGCCATTCCAGTTCTTCCTTGAATATACATACTTTCTTCTATTTTGTCACTTTTTTTTTGACACAGATTATATAAGTTTATGCATCTTCTTCCAATTTGTCTCTTTGACAACTGCATCTATAGAACTTTTAGGAAGCTTTTCTATAAGATATTATCAATATTTATCTATTTTAATCTATTTCTATTTATTTATATTATTTGAATAATTATTAGAATAAATATATATGTTTGTGACATCTTATCATTTCTTTTCATGCTTCTAGTTTAATTACTAGAATCTCTAATTTTTTAATCTTTAACAATAGCTATTCTAATTTCTTCTTGAATATACATAATTATTTTTTATTTTTGTCATCTCACATTGATATATATCTCACTTGTTTATGTATATACTTTGAATTCTTATTTTTAACAAATTTACAAAAGTACACTTGTAATATTAAAGTTTTATCTTGTCTTAATTGAAAGTGAATTATTTTTTCTTTTTAATAAGACATAAGTATGTTAAAAGTTGTAGATTATCCACTTATAAATTGTTATTATTTTTAGAATTTTTATTGTCCTTGAGTCATGAGTGTTGCAATCATTAATCAATTTTTTTATAGATTATGATATTAAGTAAAAAAATTATTATTAAACTTATCTAATCTTCAAACATTGAATTAAAAAATTGATTTTGTTATAAAGTATGATAATTGGCTATTTGAATTTGAATCTAAGAATTACACAAGTAGGCATCAATGTTTTTATAATTTAATAGTAATACTAATATCTTTTCAATACATACATTTGAAAGTAGAAGACATGTAAATTGATCCTATATGTTTTAAATCTCTTACTAAATAAGAAAAGGTTCAACATTGTCAAAAAGTATTGTACTTATGTTGTGAAAAATTTAAGTAGATTATTCAACATTGTCTAAAGAAGCAACACAATAAAATAAAGAGAATAGCTATTTAAAGATAATATGTCAAAAAAATATTTTTTCTAATTATAATAGAGACCATTTTTGGAATAAGAATATTTTCTTTAAAAAAATACACAATTTATGGCTGTAATTAGATACGATCAAATAGTATCTTTCATTCAAATAAACTTAAGTACTTTATATTCTTGATAATGTGTAATAGTTGTCATTGCTTCTTCACTTAATTAGGCGCCATAGCTCTATATTTCATTAGATTTGAGCATATAATGACTCTTTAAAGAGCTACTTGGTCTATACATATACAAATTAAATTTTATTTCTTAAATTTTTCTATAACATATTTTATGAAAAAATAAAGCTAATGATAATGTTAATATAAGAAAATTCTTTCTTTTCTATCCAAAAATACACTCCATCTTCATACTAATTTTTCTTAGAGCAAATGAGAGTTTTTTCAAAAGCCAAGAATGAAAGAAACTATTCTTCAAAATATTCAAATAAAATACTAAAAATACTCTAAAAAAATTTCCAAAAAAACCTTAAAGAATATCTTAAAGAGTGGCTAGCTCTCTTCTTATTCATAAACATATTCCATCTTCATAATAACTCCTCTCATAGTAAGTGAGAGCTTTTAAAAAAGCTTATAAAGAAAAGAACTACTTTCCAAAGTATTTGAACAAAATATTAAAAATACTTTGAAAAAACTACCAAAGAAAATCTTAAAAAGATCCTAAAGAGTAGCTTACTATTTTTTTATTCATAAATATACTTTTTCTTCATAATAACTCTTCTTGGAGCAAGTAAAAGCTTTTTGAAAAGTTAATAAAGAAAGAAAATATTCTTTAAAAAATTTAAATAAAATATTATAAATATTCTAAAAAAACCTCCAAAGATTAATTAGTTATATCTAAGAGGAGAGAGTCCAAATAAAGAAGAAGAAAAGATGGATCCAAAATTCAATACAAGTCTATATCACTCTATCTTAGCCAATGTTTCTTTACTTTAGCACCATACTACTTCATCTCAAGTCTATATCAACCAATCTTAATTTATTTTTGAAGATAAATTATCAATATTTATAATTATTTTTTTTTTATTTTATAATATTTTATCTTAATTTTATATAATATATTACTTTTCAATATAGCATTGTACAACTAAGATCTTCTACAACATATATTAAAGGTTTGTTATTGTATCAATCATAATTCATACATGCAAAAAATCCAAAGGAATTATCAAGGGCAACAATCCTTCTTATAGCAACCTCATTGACTAGTCAACAAGTGAGGTTAAGGAACAAAACTCTTAAAGAGAGGTTTTTAGAGACAAAGTCTTTGGAAAAAAAAAAAAAAAAAAAAAAAAAAAAAATCAAACTTTGAATATATTAAGTTTTTTTTTCTAATGATGATGATGTTTTATATAAAATTCTATTCTTGTAAATTTGAAAGAGTCTTCTTCATAGATTTTATTTTTTTCAACTTCCTTCTTAGTATCTTTCTCATTCCATTATATAAGTGAATTTCTAAGAAGAGCCTATTTTTTCTTCAAAACCATCTCATTGTTTTATAATAGATATTTGTTTAGGACCTTCAAATTACAAAGCTTTTGCCTTATTAGATTTAAGAGCCTTAACTTGTTTTTTAGATAAAGAATTTATTAAAAGATATAAAATATTTTTAATAAAGTGAATTAAACGTGTACATGTAGAAATCATAGATGGTTGTTTGTTATCTTTTAAAGATATAATCTATGAAATCCTTCCTATAAATGTAGCATAAAATTTTCATAATATCCTTGTAATATTTAAATTTCTTTTTAATTTTAAAACTCTTTTAATTCAATTATTTTAGGTTTTTTGTGGCTAGAAAAGTATAACCTTCAAATAGATTAGATTTCTTGTAGTTTCAAGTTTTTTTAGAGTAAAACCAAGATTTATGCTAATTAAGTAGAAATTTATAAATCTAATACTATAAAATTATTATTTATAGATGCAAGAGCTTCCATATATGGTACAAACAAAAGACCATTTTTTAAAAATTTATACCACATCCATTTTTATTGATAGAAAGACTTCATATAACATTCTAAGCTAATACTAAGATTATTAAGAACTTTTTGAAAAAAAAGAATGTAGATATTCTCTCAAAACATTGTTATTATGATTAATTATTTGACATTTAAGATAAAATGTAATTGCCAATTGGACCATTGTACAATTTTCTACAAAATAAATTAATTGAATTCAAAGTATACATTGATGAGAATTTGGCCAAGAACTTCATATGCCATTCAAAATCTCTAACAATAGCTTTGATCTTGTTTGTGAAGAAAAAAGATAGATTACTATGGATGTGCATGGATAATCGAGGATTCAATAATATTACTATCAAGAATAGATATCTTATATATTTGATATTTAGATTTCTTAATCAATTGGATTAAACCAATCTCGATACAAAAGAATCTTGAATAGAATGTCATGCCATTTGGACTCACAAATATGTCAACTATTTTTTAATAACTTATAAATAATGTCTTTTAAGAGTTTTTAGATGATTTTGTTGTTTGTTATCTAAACAATATTTTAATCTAATATTAATCAATTTTAATCAATATTAATCACCTTGCTTTTGAAATAAATTAAGATTAAAAAATTAAATTATTTTAATTTATAGATGATATTAATTTAATTTAATAAATCATTCATTGAAATTTAATTTTAAAAAATACAACAAAAGGTGTGAAGTCTTAATTCTTGGGAAGGATAGAAAATATTTTTCATAGCATTCAAAAAAATTGCAATAAGTTTATTCAAATGATTCCTTTGTGTACTCAAGGTTACTCAATGAATATCCAATTTTTACAATCATTGCCTAGATGAAACTAAAAGCTTTTTTCTTATCATCCTTACATTAACTAAAAAAAAACATTCATTCAAATGATCATAGAAAACCATCATTTGTTTTTTGTTTTGTTTTGTTTTTTGTTTTTTTTTTGTTTTGTTTTTTTTTTTTTTTGTATTTTCAATTTTCAACATGGAATCAAAGTCGGACACAGCCAAACCACTCAGGAACATTTTGATACACCTATTATATATATATATATATATATATCTATGTTTGCACACACTCATTAACCTAATAGATCTCAACCTCAGTTAGAGGAAAAAAAAAAAAAAACAAAACAAAACAAAAAAAAAACAAAAAAAAAAAAAAAAAAAAAAAAACAATATAAACAAACAAACAGAAACAAAGCTGACGACCAAGTTCTCATGCAAGAATGGGCTGTTTTTCTTGCAAACAAGTAAATGGTCCAGGGAAAAGGAACCACTGGACTAAGAAAATGAGAAGGCCCAAAATTCGAAACGCATGGGTGAGCTGCAATCCGAGGTCTAGGTGGGGCACTTCGAATCCGAAACCGAGAAGCGGAAAAAAAAACAGACAAAAAGAAAAACTGTGAAAAAACTGGTGAGCACGAAGGAAAAACGGTGAATAAACGTTCATCAACGATCTGTGGGTGGTGAAAGGTTCCTGTACATGTAGATTTTCCGTCGTAAAAAGACTGTTGTCAACACTATGTTATTAATGTTTGTGTTTATTTTGTTGTCTGAGTTAGCAGTAGTAGTAGCATTATAATTATAATAATATTTGTTGTTGTTTTTGTTGTTGTTGCGGTGGTGTTGTGCTATCCTCTTTTTCTGCATCCGTAAAGGGGGGGGGGGTATGAATGTAGGTAACAGGCAATTTGCAGCGCTCTCTGCTTACCTGTCAGCAGTCTCTTGGTCACTCGGGCCACTGTGACAATCCGCCTCCGCTCTTTCTTTCTTTCTCACGCTCCGCTCTTTCATTCAAACTCACCAGAGAGAGAGAGATACTTTTGTCCAGGCAGATTTCGCATCTGTTGAGTGCCGTTGTTGGGTGTCCAGGTGGTTGCTTTTGAATGCCGTGGTGGTGGTCATTGTTGCGTTGTCCTCAGGACGAGCGTTAGATTTGTTGCCTTGACTGTCTCCGAGTGCGGACTAGCGTTCAATTGGCAAGGCTATGGTTGTCTTCGGAACGGGGAAGAGGAGATAGAGTGGTTTTTTCTCACTTTTGCACCTTTTCAGGGTTTGAGATTTTTGGGTGGGAGGAGCAGTCTGTGTGGTTCGCGATCGCTGGCACGATTTTGTTGTCACCGACAAATTAGCACTGCGGCATTTGGTTCGTAGCGTTTTTGGTGAAGTTGATGGTCTCCTTGGTCTGGTTTGCGGGTGTCCAGTTGTAGTGTCACTGCGGGAAGCTCCTGATCATCCCGTTTTTCCGAACAGTTTGCTGGGCTTCAAGATTTAGGGTTTGGGTCTAGGGTTTGGTGTCGAGGGCCCCAATTTATTTCTGTGGAGTTTCTTCCTGCTGTTTACTTTGGGGCGTGAATCTCACAACAGTATTTTAATGTTTAAGACCTCCACATTTTGAGAAGTCTGAATCTTAGACCTGGGCTTCCTGCCTATCCTCATCGTTTGGATTGCGTGGGGTTTCCTGGATCCTTGTCTTTCAGATATTTTTTCTCGCTTCTCACAGTTTACCTGTGTGGTAAGGATCGCGATATTTATTTGGAGCATCTGGCATCCAGCGGGCTCACGGGCGCTAGACGTAATCTTGAGGGTATATGTGTGCTATTCTCGAATTGAAACCATTATCGCGCGAGACAGCGCTTTGTAACTTGGAAGATATTGCTGGCTAGAGTTGCCAGAGTGCACGAGGATAGTGTTGAATAGCACTTTATTGCTCGCGAATCCATCATCAATTTTTATTACATCTACAGCGTGAGACGTCCAGATTTAGAGCAGTGGTTGTACCACTTCTATCTCGCTGAAAGTCGCTGCCACAAAGTGGTTCTAGTGTGAGAGAAGCGTGCTTATTCTTTGCGGAGCGCATGCTGTGACGAATGTTTATTCCAGGTCATTCTCTTTGAGAAAGATATACGGAAGAGTTTGGATTCTGTCTTTTCAGCCACCGATATTTGTTTTAAGATTGTTCCACAATCTAGATTCCCCCACTCTAGATCTTGCAATTTGAGGTCACCTTTTTTAGATTCTCAAAACAAGTTAATGCCAAGTTGCATTTCGGTCTCCCATGTCAAAGTCAAGTCTTTAAGGTCTTAAAGTTTTGGAAGCTTATGGTGTATGTCATTGCATCACCAGTTTGATGTTCAGAGAATCGCGCCCAAACATCTCAGTGTCTGAGAAGTTGTTTTGAGGTGGCTCATTCTTGTGTATACATCCTTTACTTCATTTTCAGCTTTGATAAATTCGGAGTTGAATGCTCGTGCTTCATCAGGGTTCTAGTTTTTGTAAATTCGATCCCACCTTATTGAGATAGTGTCTATTGTTGTACTCGAGTACCACTTTTTGGCGCAATTTAGAAGCTCCCACTCCTACTTTGTGGATCAGTATTAGGGTTTCGATTCCAAGTGATCGTTGAGGGCGTCGCTCAATTATTCAACAATGGAGAAGAGAAAAGCTCAGGTTCCTCTTGTGTGCCACGGACACTCTCGTCCTATCGTGGATCTTTCCTACAGCCCCATCACTCCAGATGGCTTCTTCTTGGTTAGCGCCAGCAAGGGTATGTAAAGCTGATTCTCCGTTAAATGAACGTACCTCGTCGCTCTATTCTTAAAGTAGCGTCTGTTGTATTGAAAAGATATTTTCTGCCTATCTTGCTTGTGATCTACAGGTTACTGCCATTACATTCCAGAATGTATGGTGTTACCTCTAGCATTAGAGTATCCTCTTTCTAGAAGAAATCAGATTTATGGATGTAGTTGTTGATTTGTGTCATGGTTTCCTTTAATTAAATTTATTCGTTCTGGGCGATTTTGTGCAGATGGGAAGCCAATGCTCCGAAATGGTGAGACAGGTGATTGGATTGGAACTTTTGACGGCCACAAAGGAGCCGTATGGGCAGCATGTCTCGACACTCCAGCAATGCGTTGTGCCACTGCATCTGCTGATTTCAGCGCGTTAGTAATTTTTTGCCTTGTGCAGAGCCGTTTGATATATCTGTTTTTACTATGCAAGCGAAATCACTGTAAAGATTGAAGGAATAGATTTAAGAAGCGTGTACAGAAAACAAAAAATAAAATAAAATAAAAACAAAGCGTGATATCTGGCTTCGGTTGATCAGAGGGAGTTAGAATTGCTTTGTGCTCTTGCCCACTCTTTCAACAATCGGCGCTTTCATATCCACAAAATTTATTGTCGAGAGAGTTTGAGGTATGAGATGGCTTTAATTACTGGAAGATGTGAGTTTTCAATGTATTAAAGTGGGTTTTGGCTTGCAGGAGAGTGTGGGATGCATTGACAGGAGACGAGCTTTATTCATTTGAACACAAGCATATCGTTCGTACTTGTGCATTTTCTGAGGTCTACTTTCTGCCCTGATTTAGTTTTATCGCTTTTATTGTACAGTGTCCATCTCCCTGGTATTCATTACAATCATCCGATAGAGGAATAGGCTTGGCTGAGTCTCGATGTGTACCATTTTAAGACGAGCATGACGGAGTCTTCTGCAGGATAAGATATAGTTAAAATGAACCATTGTTTCAATCCCCTGTATGTTCTGATATTGATCAATTTACATTTCATATTTGAGGCTTTTAGGTGCTACAACGCGAATATTTCCTTAATTAAAAATGAAGTAATTTGTGTGCATGTTTCTGTCCTGACTGAGGTATGACAATATGGCTACAGAGTACAACCCATTTGCTAACTGGAGGTGCGGAGAAAGTGCTACGAATTTTCGATTTAGCTAGGCCAGATGCGCCCCCAACTTTGTTGGAAAGCAAACCGGAGACTCCGATAAGAGCGGCAGTTTGGCATCATAGTGACCAGACCATTTTGAGCTCATCAAACGACATCGGAGGTGTAAGGTATGCCACGTGGACTTCGTATTGCACCTGATTTTTTCTTTGGTTTATAGTTTTGCAATCTACATTGGAATGGAATTGCGGATATTGTGTAACTTGTAATCTCCAGTGACCTAATATTTTGTGTCCGAATAATCAGAGTTTGGGACGTGAGGACCAAGTCTGTAGTGCGGACTTTGGATACAAAATCTTCATGTACCAGCGTGGAGGTTAGCAGGGACGGTCGGTACATCACCACAGCAGATGGCAACACCGTGAAATTTTGGGATGCCAATCAGTAAGATCTCGTTTTGATTGCTTTATAATGTGTTTTTGCCGGATGTTGTGGATACACACCTGTTAGAATACATTCTGCCAACGATGTCTCAACGGTAGTGAACTGTACTTCATAGCTCTGGTTACTATTTTGGTGCACAACACGAGAGATTTCTTGGTACGCTTTACACTAAGTTCGCACTGATGACAGGAGGTTTGCCATGACTGATTACGTGTACCCTCTGTACAGCTTTGGGTTGGTGAAGAGCTACTCAATGCCTAGGCCGGTGGAATCAGCGTCACTGTTTCCTTCTCGCGGTAAATTCATAGCTGGTGGTGATGACATGTGGGTTCGCCTCTTTGACTTCGACACTGGAGACGAAATTGGTACGTGTTTTGCATGTATTCTTGTTAATATTTGTCGCTGCTCTATATGTAGCAATAATATATAGTCTCGAGAGTTGCGAGGTGTAATATGACGAACCTGTGCTTGCTACTACTATGCATCTAATGGTTCACTATGAAGTACGGAAGGACTAGATTACGTAAATGATCTGACGTTATCTAAGCAACTATTCATTACTTCATGTATATGGGCACGTGTTACATGTTGCCTTCCTGGCTCATGATGTGTTGTACACGTAGAATGCAACAAAGGGCACCACGGTCCTGTGCACTGTGTCCGCTTCTCTCCAGGGGGTGAGTCTTATGCCTCCGGCTCTGAAGATGGTACCATCCGAATTTGGAAGACGGTAAATGGGAACGATGAGGCCGAAGTGGGTGGAGTTGCTGAAGGTGCAGCAGCGAATCAGATAAAGGTCAGAGTAAATGAGGTTGCGAGGAAAGTGCAAGGCTTTCACATTGCTCAAGAGGATGGCGCACACTCCTGATAGCCAAAGATCTGTCTCTTATTCTTCTGTTTTAGTTGAGCTTCATGACTAGAGTTGGAAGGGTTTCGCTGGAGGGACAGTGGTCTTTCGGAGATTGTGGAGTAAACTGTATGTGCAGGGAAGTTTGAAAGAGTACCCGCTTGTCACACTCGTCCCTTTTGCATGCTTTTGGCCTAGTTAAGGGCTGGCAGTCTGGTGACGGTCTGTTCACGTATCTGCTTGCACATACAGAAATGTCAACATGATTATGGAGAACTTGTAGTTGATCCAACTGGGCAATATAAGAGTCTCTGGTGGCCTGAAGAAGTCGCGTTTTTATTTTGCGCTTGGTATGAATGTATTGTATGTGACAGCGTGTGTTGTCTGGTGGATTGGAAAAGTAGGAAGCTAGTTACGGTCTCAACTGGTTACACTTTTCCTTCATTTGAAGGATACGAATTGGATTGGTTGTTGAATGTTACATTTAAGCAGTGTAGATTTCACAGCATCCAGAAGAACTCATCTGGGTTTAGGACTATGTACAAGAGGAGCTGAAGTGCTACATGGAGTGCAGGCTCTGCATCGTAGAGAGCTTGATACACAGGCTTGTAGCCAATTAACTGAGGTCAGTCGTAATTTGTTGAGTGGATCAGATTCCTCTGCTTCGATTGATGGACTTCATTCTTGTCTTAGAAATTGTACAAATCTCTTTCTAATTCTTAATTTTTAAACAATTTTTTTCTAATTTCAAGTAAACAGACTAAAAGCATTGAAAAATCGATGTCAAATTCTCAAATGAAATTATATCAAGTTGGATGAACTTTGAGATCTTGGAATTTGAAAATTGGGTCATACAAATCCTCTAGAACGTTAATTTATGGTTGTTCGGATACAACAAATGTCTATAAGAAATTGTTGTGAAATAATCAATATAACTTAATGCAACCCTTGACAATTTCATTTTTATTTGTTTTATTCATCACTTGTATTTGTATATAGGAATGTTAAAAATTATAAAAAATGTTGACAAATGAATAAATTGATATGAAAATATATGTGCCCGAATGGTTTGTAATGCTTACTACTTTTAGGAATGGCTTTTGTTGATGACACTTTTATAATGCTCTAAGAACAAGACAACGTTTGGTTATAAAAATATAACTAAATAATTTATTCTTAAAATACATCATTGAAGTAGGTTGAACACAATAACATTTTGCACATGAAATTTCTATATTTATGTATAATAATCAATAATTGAGTGAATATAAAAGACATATTCTTGTTTAATGATACATATATATTATTAAAAATATTGTAAAAAATATAACTCATAAAGTTATTAATCATTTTTAATATTAATATACATTAATAATGGTGGTTTGGATCGTAGGATATATGCTATCGAGCTTAAGGTTCCAATTATGTTTATAAATATAAGTCAGATTATTGAGGGGAAAAAAAAAAAAGAAAAAAAAGAAAAAAAAGGACTAAATAACTAACTAACTAACTGTAACATTGAGTTTTACTTATGTAAGTTACTCCAAAACATTTTAGAATAAGTCAAAATACACTCTTCTTCTATACCAGTATGTAGAATCCTGAAGTTCGATTTTCTTATCATTTTCAAAACAATGCACGAAGCTGTAAAACTTCCAACAAATGAGTATACTCACATTAAACAGAAACAGTTGAACATATTCCAGAAGTTGTAATGAATTTCCAACAGATCAGCAGCACTTTTAAAAACTATTCCCAATTATTCCTGAATGACAAAGAATATCATTAAAAAGAAAGAAAAAGAATTAGGCAGCAACATAGAATCCCAAAATGGCGGCCTAATTACTCACCTATTGAATAGGCAAGTTTCTATTGAAATTGTCCTAATAGGGTTCCCTTATGCCTGCTCAGTAACAATGATATTAGAGCATGAGGCAGTGTATCAATTCTAAACTTTTTGATCAATGCGACAGGTATTTGTACGTGTTTATATATATATATATATATATATATGTCTATATACACACACACATATGTATTCATGATCCAAATCAAACAGACTCAATTTCAATGCAGGTACCCAATCCAAAACATGCCAGTGAAACGTGCAATGAGAACCACAGAATACAAAATCTGCCTCTGAGTTGCTTCCACTTTGGAGAAACTTAAGTTACAAATTCCTCAACACAAGCCAGCAAATCCAAAGCCCGGAAATGTAGGAGCAGAAATCAGAAAAATTAATAATTTTATTCAATAGGGACATGAGGCGAAACTATGTGCATTACAATGCTGGTTCAAGACTCGCACATTTAACATAGTGATTATAAGTGGATAGAAGCCTACTTAATGAGATTCACATCGATGGTTCTAACCTGCCACAGTACTCACCGAACATCGGCTCAATTCTAATCGAAAGTTCAGTCGCCGGACCAGAGTCTCTGATGCCTTGCTTGAACTAGATCTTCACATGACAGCCTAGTTCTGGACTATCGACGTTGCTCGATGATGCCTGCAGTTCGGTTACGAAAGATCGATGACGAGAGAGAGAAAGAGAGAGGGGGCAAGGAGTCACGGGAATAATCGGATGTGGGGAGTGGCTCAGTCGTGTTTTGGTGGCTTCGTGTGACCTTGGGAACCGTAGCCGCACATACCAAACCTGCAAGGCTGGTTGTTCGAGCACCGTTTGTCGCAACCACCGCAGTGCCTGTTGTTGGTTAGCAAATTCGCACAAACTCCGTCGCAGCATTTTTCGCCGAACCTGCATTTGTTGGTGCAGGACCCACACCTGTCTTCCAGATTGCTAACGTCAAAGCAGAGCCTGTTGTTGAGATTCGTGACGCAGCAGCGTGGGGTTTTAGCGAACCTTAGTTTCCTGTCGCAGTCGTAGTCTGGGAAACTTCCCCTCGGTCTGATCACATCAACGCAGAAGTTGATATTGAGAAGTTTGCGGCCTATGTGTTGGCCAAACGGCGTCGAGGAAAAGCGGCCTCGCAGAGGCATCCCGTCTTCGTCTGGGTAGGCAGTACCTGTGCTGAGTAGAGTGGACGCGACCATCAACACAAGCAACGGTAGCACAGATTTGGTGACGCAGTGCGAGAACTTCATGGCTGGAGTCGGCGCTCGCTCACTGTGCTTCAGATTTCGAATGTCCTTGACTACCACTGGCACTGCATTGACGAATCCCGACCTCCGCTGCCCACTACCAGGCACTGTGCTGGCACTGCTCGGTACGCAGCCCTGTGCTTGTGGGGTCCCGCAATTGTAACTGTGCAACGATCAGTATCTCATCTTTGCTCCCCTTTAATAGTCTACCTCGCCCAGCACAATGCTTGAGCACACGGAGACACCTGACACGATCACTGCGGAAAATCAACGCTCATTGACAATCCATCGACTCGTTCCTGCTCTAACGCAGATGTGGAATTCAATATCTTCACATCAGAATCGCTGTAGCGGGGGCACATACTGCTACACTTAGTGCCTCGCTGTTTGAATGCAGCTCGACATGCTCTGAGACTTGCCATGCCGAGAAGATAACTTTTTTCCAAAATCACTTCTCATTTATGGAGATAATTCACTCCGACCAGCGTCTAAGTTGTCATTAATTATGAAACCATATTATGAAACCAATCGCTAGTTCTCATGGAGTGGAATCTGTTACCCGTGATTAGCAACACATAATTCAATGGGTCCACACTAATAAGACTAATCCACCCAACGTGGCCATGTATTATAAACGTGCATTAGCAGCTCGGCATGGTTGGCTGCATATCTACGATGATCTCTTCGCATGAAGTAGGATTTGGATTCTACGTGAGGATGCAGGACTGCTGTAGCATTGTCACCATCACTGTAGATTTGTCTACATGCGGAGCTGATTCCGGAAAAATGTCGAAGCATCGTGAGCACTAGTTTTTGCTTCGCGTGCACGTCCTTCGCAGCGATGGTGGGTGGAGTTCCTACTCTTCCTACTCCTCCTCATCTTCATTGCTCAGTAGTTCCATGGCTCTTTGTGTGATAGCTTCACCTGCAATTACAAAATAATGTTGGCTTGAAAACAGGCGTACAAAGCAACATAACCACAAATGCACCTCCCTCTTTACTTCTTATATTGTTGCGGCATTACTGTGTAGAATAATGTGCATGGGAAGGTTTTAATTTTTTTGAAGAATTCTAGTATTGAAACAATTCTTTGTAGTTTTTGAGATTCTTTAAAGATTCAATGCTGTTGGATTACTGTTATAATTTATCTTTTTTTATTTTTAGATACATTTCAAGTGAAAAATAATAATTAGATAGTTTTTGAGATTCTTTAAAGATTCAATGCTGTTGGATTACTGTTATAATTTATCTTTTTTTATTTTTAGATACATTTCAAGTGAAAAATAATAATTAGATATTAGATATTATTTTTTGAATTGATTATTTTGTATCATATAATCTTTATAGGTAGTATTAAAAATTCCACTATGTCAACTTTTATTAGTAAATGACAGATTAGTGTTTTTTCTTTTATGTAAAATGGATACATAAAAACTTTATCAATATATTAGAGATAGAATTTTTCATATATACATGTTTTTATATAATTATTTTAAAAATACTATTTTAGAAAAGATAAAATACAAGATTATATTAAATTTAACAAATAATTTTAATATTTTTAAGATGATATATCTATATATATATATATATATATATATATATATATATTAATTGAGCATATATTAATATTTTGTGTTTATATATTTTTATTTTTAAAAATAATTATCTTAAAACTTTACAAAAAAAGACTTATATTGTAGAATGATATACAAAAAATCTAATCATTTGAATTTAAGTTTTTATATTTAATTTCTAATTATAAATTGAATTTTTAGAAGAAATTTATTTTTTAAAATCTAATTTCTTTTAAAATATTAATTATAAATTCAAAAATATTCAAAAATATTTATTTAATTTATCCCTTGGAATTTAAGTTTTTTATTTTAATTTTAAATTTAAAATGGAATTTTTGAAAAAAATTTTTTTTTTAAAATTAAATTTTTTTTAAAAATTTATTTTAAAATTCAAAAATTTTCAAAAAATTTTTTTTTTTTTTTTTTAAAAAAAAAAAGAAAGGTTTTTTTTTTTTTTTTTTTTTTTTTTTTCAATACAATAATAAATCTCTCTCTCTCTCTCTCTCTCTCTCTCTCTATATATATATATATATATATATATATAATTTATCAAATAATTTTTTAAAAAATATTATATTAAAATTTTACAAAAAATAATTAAGATATTATCACAATGTTATTGCTTATAATTACTTTATGTTATCAAATAAAATCTATCACAGTATTTATAGAAACAACAAAAAATCTTGATAGATTTATAGAAAACATTTGTCAAAGAAACGAATCATAAAAAAATTCTATAGAACCAATATATTCTTGTGACATTTAAAGAAAAAAAGTAGAAAAATCAAAGATAGTTATAATATAGAATTTAGAATGGATATTTTTGAATATAAGAAAACTAGATGTTCTTGAAATCAAGCTAAAAACAAAAAAGACATTTACAAGAGTGAAGAAGTAGTTACTATCTACAAAAATATCACCAAACAACAAGAATTACTTCGAAGATTGTGATATCAAATACATTGTATTTTCCCATCTATTTGAAGGAGGATATGTCATTTTTAAAGGTCTGTATTTCTATTACGTTGTTTTGAAGATTGACACAATCTCAATACTTTTTTTAATAACTTAACAAATAATAGCTATTAAATTAATTTTATTTATTATTAATTCTTTATCTACATCTTTAAATTTTTATAATACAAGATAAATGTGAAATTTATGTTTTCTTGTATTTTTAAAGTATATTTAAATATTATTTAGATAAAAAAAATCATCTAAAAATTTTCAAAAATATCTTTCATTAGATGTTAAAATAAGTTGACATATTTTCAAGTTCAAAAGATATAACCTTTTATCCAAAATGCCTAAATCTGATTTGAAACATCATATTTTATTCATCTCTTTTTTTAATGCATATCAAGTTGTATGCTTCTTGTAGATCTATTTTGGACATTAAACATCATTACTAACTTCTTTCCTAGACATAAGAATAATTCTTCTATGGATGATATTGGTAATATGTTAAATTTTGCTTGTAAAATATTGTCAAGCTTATGAAGATATGAAAAAGTTGCAAAGCTCTTCTTACTTTCACCAAGAATAGTATCAATAATTTTTCTTTCTATTTCTACAACAAACAACTTTAATAAATCTACAAGTCAAATTAGAAGAGAATAATTTACAACCTCTTATATCAAATAAAGTTTTTGGTAGAGAAAAATAGTCTATACTCTATAAAGAAAGAATTAGTGTTAAAAAAATATATATACTAGTTTAAAAGTGGCTAATCTATAATCTTTAAAATTAAAATAAAAAATTAAATTAATCTACTATTTTTTTTTTAAAAAAAAGAATAAATCATTACACTTATAAAAATATTAAGGAAATTAATCATAAAAAAATATAAAAGAAATATATTCTTATAAAATTTAAAAAAAGAAAATAAATAAATCAAGAATAATCATAAGTTAGAAATTAAGATGATTATTTCTAAATATAAGACAACTAGAAGTTCTTGAAACAAGATTAAGGAAGAAAAATGCATTGATAAGAATGAATAAAGGCCTTACTTTTATCTCTATATACATTATCTAATTAGAATGTTATGTGGTGATATTCTACAAATTATCCAACACATATACAACTTACAAGACAAGTTTCCAAATTGTGCATTACATAGTTAAATTATACAAAAAGAGACCAATATGTACAACATATGGCTAACTTATAAAGCAAGTGGTCAACATATGAAATACATGGCCAATTTCTTTTATTTGTGTAATTCTTTGATAGTTGTATCATATTATTATTTTTATAATAGAATTAATTATATTAAAATAAAATAACTATTTTTGAATAGTTTTTTAAAAATTAAATTCTAAAATATTAATTTCTTTTTATTTGTTTAATTTTTTTTGATAAACTTTGCAAAAGAAATAAATAAAACTATACAAGAAAAAAAATTAGGTATAGACAATTATTGGATACTAAAAAAAAAAGTAAATTTCTTAACATATTATCTTTTAATGTGAAGCCTTTTTGTTAAGAATTGATTTCTATTCTTTCACTTTTTCTTGTAAAAAAAACTTATTGTTATAATGGTTGTAGCTCAATTTTTTTTATTTTTTTATTTTACATTATTTTTTTTAAAAAATTTCCTTATTATTTATACACTTGTGAAAAAGTTAAATCAACTTAGTCCTAAAATTTTCTAATTTCTTTTTTATTTTTTATATTATGCCTTGATATGATTTTATTAATAAAATTATAATATTATTTTTTATATTAATTTAATTAATTTAATTAATTTAATTTATTTTATTATATTTTTTTTTATAAAACTTTAATACCTTTGATAGTCATGCAAATAAATTTTAAGAATAAACATGCAAATAATAAAGATAAAAAACAAAAAATAATTATATATTTTATATTTGAACTAAAGAATTATTATTATATTAAAACTAACTTGTAGCATAGATATATATATTGAAATAAATATAAAAATTAGAAATAAATAGAATAAAGTAGATAATATCTTCTTTAAGAAAAATTAAGAAAGCTTTCTACATTCATAGAAGATCTGCAAGTGTCATTGTTTTTATTTTATTTTATTTTTATTTATTTATAGCCATAAAAATATTTTAAAAGAGATTACAACATCTAAGAATCCACTATATAAATGTTTTAAAATTTAATTACTTGGATTTTAAGCTTAATAATCTTCAAGAAGGTTTTATATAACATTTTTGTTTGGTAATAGATTGAGGCCATTCTTAATTTTATCAATGCTTATTTCAAAAATATTTGATTTTTTTGTCTTTAAAAATAAAAATTCTATTTCTTTTCTATCTTATAAATGTAATTTTTTTATATTTTTTTTCTTAATTTTATATAAGTATATTTTTTAATAAAAAGTTTTTGTAGCTAAATGTTTTTCAAAAAAATTATAGAATATAAAAAAATTAAATTTATAAAATATTTGAATTTTTATTGAAAATTATATGTAATAATAAATAAATTATATATTTAAAAATACTAATATATTATATAAGTAAATCAAATATTAAAACAAGTTTAATATTTTATATTATAATTATTTTTTACTCATGTTTTTTTAGAAAAATTTATAATCAACATTTTAAAACTTTTAAAATTAATCTTAAAGAGTTTTTTGTGTATTTTATTTATTTTAAATAAATAATAATATTTTATAAATTTTCTATTTTTTTGAAATATTTTTTTAATAATTTCAAATATTTAGAATAGAAACTATTTATAAATTAAAACATTATACTTGATTTCTATTTTAAATACATGTTAAGAAGCCATCATTATTCTAGTTGATATAATGTATGCTATTTACTCAAGAAAGTTTTAATAAATAATTCAAACTTTAGAGATAGGAGCACGAATTATGGGACAACTTAATTCAAAAAATAAGAAAGATAAGAAATTGTAATGATCAAGATTCTTTGCATAAAAAATATTTATTGATATTGTTACATTCTTGACATGCATACATTGTTTTAGAAAATCATCAAAAGCAATCTCATAAAAATATGTCAAAATAAAGTAAAATAAAATAAAAGTTAACCTTAACTATCATTTTGACACATCTTCTATGCAACTGATGGTCCACCTCCACTGGCAGCTGTGTGAAGAAACTAGATTTCATGTACACACATATCGCAGAAACTTTCAGTTGAAGGATTCAACAACTTGTGATACATCTGGCATCTTTTGAACACTGTTCCATGAACCGATTCAACCTTCTTCTTAAAATAAGGCATACAGAACCGCATTTTGGTACAGTTACGGAATCTAGCAACCAACCTTTTAAAAGCCTTTCATGGAGATCAAATTCATGACCTAATACGGATTTCATCAAACTGTAGAGATAGGAGCACGAATTATGGGACAATGAGAAGCTATATATCTACACAATGAGCTACGAAGTCTGTGAATACAAAGGTAATGAGTATGTTGGTTACGGTACCAGTGAAAGGGCTCAAGCAGAGCGTTCGACTCGTTGCAACAAAGGATTCGCATATTTGAGATGATTCTGCATCCCTGGCTTCTTCAGTGTGGAGCTGAGAATTACTACACCCCACGGAATACAAGGTGGCCTAGTGATCTGAGTTGATTGTAGGCAAAAAACCAATTACGACCAACGTTTCGAGATGCAGAAACGGTTATGAATCATGTTGTACTTGGGGATTGTTGGTGAAAGACGCAAACCTGCAATTCTAGGACAGGGATAATGCTTCTTTGGTACGCAAAGTAGCGCAAGGATGCCGTGCAGCTTCGATCAGACAGTCATTTAAGAGTGAATGACATTCTACGGTGGGAGCTCAATGAACGAAGTGTAACGAGCTTCACATCAGCTCCGAACCAAAGCCTAAGCTACTCAGATAACGCGGTATCTAACTTTGAGGAGCCTCTGTTCGGAACATGTTGGACATAAATGAACACAACGATGTCCACAAAGTCATGCGTACGACGAATTTTTCACCACACTACACTAAATTTTGGATTATACATTCATTATAAATTTGCATTTTGTTATGGCCCTAAAATGTTGATTGCTCAAATGTTGATTGCTGCCCTGGTAACCGGACCACGTAGTACCAGACCCAGACCCACAGAGCAGCTTTCATCAGGCGTCATGCACTCATCGTGATTCATGCAATCAACCCACTCAGTCCTCGTCAAAGGTACCACAATGCAATAAGAAATTCAACCAGCCACGAAATACGTTTAATTTTCTCTGATTTTCTTATCTTTTCTTCTGGCAGATGATGAACTTCACCAACTTGACTTCTGCTTAGAAAGGGGACTGTTTCATTTGATGCTGGACTCACTGACAAGCATTCGATCTCCTGGTCACTTAAGGATCTCAGTCCTTCAAATTATTGGCAACGCTATTCATCTCTGTCAGAAGAATTTTGAAACCTGCAACTTTAGAAAACCTTCTGCACGCATCAGAAAATCCCAGACATTCCACGTCGGAGCTGTTGTCGATTCAACACACCTGAGTTGAACTCGGAGCTTGTCTTCATAATATTTCTTCCGTGTTTCCTCAGTCCTGTTGTTCGATGCAACTTGGGTGCTACTCAGGTTATGTTCTACAGCACTTTCATGAACTGCTCCAGCCATGAAATTGGCCGACAAAACCATGCTTTATGATCCCTGATGACAGTGGTTGTAACGATGTCTTCAACAGTTTTTGTAGTTGAACTGCATGATTTATTGTTTTAGTATAAAATAAATTAAAAAATTGAAAAACCAATCGTTAATCTTTTTGTATTGATTGATACAGTTTCACAAAAGGTTAGAATTGGCAATTAAAACAATGTCAAAAGAAAATAGCTCAACTTGCATTGACTTTTTACAAAAAGCATTAGTCATTAATGACTTTGTGCATGCATATGTTTTTTAATAGCTTTTTGTTTGGTAGGTTATTTTTTTGAGAAGGTTTTTATCTTTAGAGGACAAGGTAAAATGATTCTTTGATTACTTAAAATTGTGACATCTCACCTTGATTTTTAGATATAATGACCTTTTTAGTACATAGATGGATCCATTCAATCTTTAAATAGTATAATGATGTTATTTTGAAAGCATAAAATATTTTTAAAATTACTTTTAATATTTCATATATTCAAAATTATCCTAAAATTTTAGAATTAAAGAGATTTATTAATTTTTAAATATTTATGATTTTTTAAAGTAACTCTTTTTAAAAATTAAAAGTAACAGATACATAAAATATTTTAAAGATATAAATATTTTTACAAGATATATTTGAATAAATAAATTTATAAATTTTACATAAAAATATTTGTCAATAAAATAAGAAATATTTTTTTATTTTTATTTTCCATAATTTTTTTAAATTTTAATTTATTTTTATATATTTAAATACTTATATATATATATATATATATATATATATATGTAAAATTTTATAATTATATCTTTTTATACAAACTTATATTTAAATTTTTTATACATAAATTTGTATTCATATTTATATAAGAATTTATAAATATCTAATATATATGTATATATATATATATATATATATATATATACTTACATATCAAATTTATATTATTATTTCTAAAAATTATTATAACAATTAAAACATATTACTTCATTATTTTTATTTACTTTAATTAAAATTTGTTTAAAATTTTGATATTTAAATATTGAACATATGTAATAAAATCTATTAAACACATTCTACAAAAAGAAGATAAAGTTAGAGAATTGTCAAAGCTACATCCCCGATTGATTGATGTTACTACATTCCATGTGACCTCTACATGACTTAAATTAACTAAAATACATACTTTTGTATTTGGGACGTGTTTGATAGTCCAATACTTGATTCCAGGATTTATCTAAAAATATAATAATAACATTCTTTTTCAATTTTTTTGATAGCCAAATATGAAAAGAGATAGAATTTTGAATTAAGCAATTTTTGAAGCAAATATTTTGTTTTTAAAAAAAACAGTTTGGAACTTGCTTTTTCATAAGATATTCATAGTCTCCCTCTCAACCACCAACCTTTGAAGCACAAAACGGAAAAAATACGCTTAAGAATTCATATATATCTATATATATATATATATATATCTATATATATTCCAAGTAGTTCAATTTGACGAGTTCATATTCATTACACAGATCAATGGTTATTCGATGAGTTTTAGGTGTTAAACTGCTAAGAATGCCACTGGATTCACATGACCTGTGCATGACATAAAAAAACAGTTAAAATAGCAATAAAAATAGGAACCACTAATTCATTGAGCTGGAGAGCCACAATCCAGAGAATACTCACATTCTTTCCAGGGCTGCCAACCCTCTCTCTCACGAAATAGCAGATATTCTGCACGTCGATAAAGCATGCAAACCCACTTGTGATACTGAATTCCAGCTGGGTTGTTGCAATTAAACAGCATCGTGGATGGTCTGCTATTCTAGCGTAGCTCCTGAAAAGGTTGGGGTTCTTGACCATGACTGCAGAAGCCCTTGATGGACTAACTTTCGGTGGCTGGAATCAAAAAACTGAACTCTTGCCCTTCAGATTGGGAAACTGTTGCTTCGTCCTGTAGTCTGTTGGTAACCGCGAAGAACAGCTAGTCTGAGCCTTCAAATCATCAGTACATTAAGTTAGAAAAGCTAAACATCTGATGGCAGAATGTGAATACTTTGAAGCATGCTTTGATTTTTGCCAGCGGAACAAACTGCAAACTGTAGCTACTTCACTGACATGCCGTTGAAATCTCTGCTCTGAAAGTGTGTGGTGAGTTACGAAAATTCTGGGCCGACTTGCTCGTGGTGACCTGTTCCGAGGAGGGAGTGTTTAAAACGACGGTGGCAACGCTCTAACACTCAGACTTAGGGCTCTGGAGTGAGAGGTCTATCCTTCCTGGAGTGCTGAAAACCGTCGTGCAGCACCGATGTGACAGGAAGTCATCTCGGTCCGTTCAAATCACCGACTATGAATTCTCGTACGCCCGCAGATCTATCTGGATGTTTGCTTCTGCTTTTTAAGTCATTGTTTGGAAGTCTTGGAAGAATTTGTGGCTGCTCGGAAAGAGATGAAAGGGTAAATTGATCGGTTCAGGTTGGAAATGACACTGCATTGCTCAGAGATAGCCCTCAAATCATTTCTAACTGTTGCACTGCTTGTTGCTGCTGTCAATCGCTTCGAGAGAACTCCAGTGAGTGCCAATTCCAAGTCCCACGTGATGCCAAAAGCACTGTTATTCTCTCTGCTGGCATTATCGGCTCTGCTGTTAGTGGTTGCGATCGATTCCGGCGAGCTTGAGGACAATGGCAGAAACGAAGTTGCGCTATTAGAATCGAAGAGGCCCACTGGCCGATTCTTACTCCAACGTAATAACCCACGCGGTTACTACTGGTGGAACGAATGCTACAGCGACAATCGCTGCAGGCGTCTGTACCCAGGACCTGAGTACCGCGACATAAGATGCTGCTGGAACACAAGAAACAGCCTGCTGTGCATCGACGTGGGTGGGGAAGATAGATTCAATTGTGGTCGCTGCGCCCAGGCCTGCAACTGGCCTCGAAGCTGCTGCGGAGGCGTTTGCGTGAACCTGAATTCCAACAGGAACAACTGCGGGCGCTGTGGAAACATGTGCGGTAGAGGCGATCGTTGCATCCGAGGCATGTGTAATTACAACTGATCGCAACTGTGCGTGGGTGCGTCGGCAAACTACCACTCATTCTCACAACTTCATCTAGTTCTCTACAACACCTATATATATATATATATATATATATATACATATACATACATAGAGATAGATAGATATGTGTGTGTGTGTGTATTGACATACAATCACTACCATCGCAGCCAGTGCTTGAATCAATCCCTTACATGCACCTGAGTCAGTCCTTCAAAAACTACTTGAAGCCGTCAGATGCTCGCTTCAGGGCCTAGAATACACGTTTAAAGAAACTATTCATAATGTAGGAAATTAGTCGATCAGATCGACGTCGAGAAGGGCTGTTAACGACGAAGACACTGATTTTTGCATAATTCTATTAAATACAAGTTTTAAAGTTTTATTCATTAAATCAAATTGATAGTTTGTACTAATAGAATTTATCATTAATATAATATTTAAATTTATGTTAATTTATGTAGATTTAATATTAAAATATCAGAGTAAAAGAAATAATACTTTAATTTTATATTATGGCTTATTAAAATATTTGATTAATGATTAAAAATTCCAAAAAATGACTTGTAGATTGAACCATTATTAATAAATTTTAGTATAAGTCAAAAAAGTTAATATCTTAGTAATTTTTAACATCAAAATGATTTATTTTTTTACTTATTAATCTTTTATAGTTAATAAAATTAAGCTCAAGAAAAAAAATTACATATTTTTTATAATACTCACTAAATGTTAATAAGATTTTATTTAAATAATAATAATAAAATAAATGATTAATTTAATATAAGTTTTACAAAATATTTTTTACTAAAAGTTGATAATCTTGTACCAAAAGATTTTACAAATTGTTTGTCAAAGCTACATACAATAATAAAGGTATAGTTAAAGGAAGCTAAAAAACGACAAAAGATTAATGTGAATGCTTTTTACAAAGAACAACCTTAATTCAATGGGGATGACAAGATATGGCTACTTCATCACAATATCAAGCTTACTTGTTCTTCTAATAAGTTGGACTATTGTAGGCTTGAATCTTTTTCAACTTGTGAATAAATCAATCTTGTTCCTTATTGATTATATTTATTGAAATCTATGAAGATTCATTATTTTTTTCATGTATCTCTTCTTGGGCCATATAAGACAATGAATATCTTGGGAAGAAGACAAATGCCACCTCCTCCTATAAAAGTGGATAGTAATAAAGAATTTGAGATAGAAGAAGCCATAGATTCAAGGCAATATCAAAATAAATTGGAATAACTTATTTATTCATATAGATATGATATTAATAAACGTACATAGAAGCTAGTAAATTTTTTTATTAATGTAGCAAAAAAATTTGAAGCTTTTTATCAAAAAAATCCATTAAAATCAAGATGAAGAATTATAAGATCTATGAAAAATGATGAGTGTTCTTCATAAAACTTATCCCTTAAAAGGAAGAATAATATTACAAAAAAAAAATATATATATCTGCTATAACATTTATCTATATGATTAAGTAGAAATAGATAAAAATAGATTTATTTTATATTAATTTTTAGAATAACTTTTTAGAAGCTTCATAGATGCTACTTTGATTTTATATATATTTATAGTAGATTAGTAGGTTAGAAATTAGGTCAACAAGTTAACCACATGTTGATAGCTTACAAAACAAGCTAATTGTGAGGAGCACATATAAAAAACTTGCTTGCAAGTTAAGATATATGTCTTGCAAAATCAAATTTATTTTAGAGATTCTATAGGATATTGTGATTTGCTCTTAGTTAAGAATATATATGGAGGCAAGAGTGAATCCTTCTTCACTCTTTTCAATGTTTTTTTAGTCTATAGTCTTTTTTTAAGACTTTTTAATCTTCTTGTCTTTGATAATAGCCATTTTAGTTTAATACTATATCATCTTTGAGTGATTTTCTAGTCTTTTTGAAGGACACAAGAATGTATTGAGTTTTTTTTTTTGAAATTCATAAAATTCATATGCACCTTTTAGTAAGAATTTTGGTTGTTTTGGATTTAAACTTTCTATTTGAATAAAAAAATTCTAATTTATTCTATAAAAAAATCAAATTAAAAAAATCTAGTCTATTAAAAGATTATATTATTCCAGCTACAATATTCATAAAATAACTAGGTTAGAAGGAGATCTTATTATATTAAATAATTATTAATTTTTTATATTTTAAAAAAATAATTTTATGGATAATATCTCTAAAAGATAATAAACAACTATCTATGACTCTTATATGGATGGACTTAGTTTTCTTACCTAAAGGTATATATATATATATATATATATATATATATATATATAAATAAAGTCTTTGTCTCTTAAACAAAGTAAGAATTTCAAATCTAACCAAGTAAAGACCTTGCAATTTTTTGATCTTAAAGAAATATCTATTGTAAAATAAGGTGAAGAATTGAAGATAGAATAAGACTTTTATTAGGTATTGGATAAGATTTCAATTGCTCAATCTCTATTGTATTTGGAAAAACTTGTATTCTAACTCTTTATCTTCTTTGACAACCATGCTTTTCATTTTGTGGTTGTATTGCTTCTTTGGACAATGTTAAGTAATGTGCTTATGTTCTCCATAAGATAAGTATAATCCTTCTTGATAATGTTGAATCTTTTCTTGCTTAGTAAAAGATTTGAAATATATTGTATCAATTTATATAGATTTCAATATTAATAAATAAGTTTATAAAAAATTAAGAATTATTGTTATAACTTGATTTGTTATTTTTCAACCAAATCTTTATTCTTAGCATCTTTTAAAAAATCAATTGTAACATGCAATGGCTTAAATAATAAATTATTCAAATAATATAATCTCAATATTGATAATGACAAATCTTTGATATTATCTTTTAATTCATATTAAAATCAATTGATAAGGGCTTTATTAATCCATTTCAAGTCATAAGCAAAGTTTTTGAATTTAGCAACATATATGGTGGTTGAATATGATCCTTATTGTAAAGATAGGAATTTCATCTTTCCTATTCTTATCCAATTATTTTTTTTCAAATATGGTCATAAATACTTCCAAGAATAAATTAAGATGCTAGAAGAATCATAAATCTATTTCTATAAAAGGTGCAAACTAAGAGAGAGCACTTCCATATAGATGTAAGCTTATGAAGCCAACTTCAATAAATTCATTAAGGTATTGAAAAAGATGCAACCTTAAATAAAACTTGACATGTTTTAAAAACTTTCAAAATTTTAATCTTGTTCTATCAAATTTTTCTTGCACATTGATATTTGCATCTTTCATAATTGTACTAACAAGACTTCTCAGATTCAATTGTGAAATTAATTTACTTACTTCTTTCAATTATACAATTTTTTAGCATAGATATTAAACTTCATTGTTGACTTCTTTCATAGGCATAGGAATAGGACCTCTATAGTTGATATTAGAAATATGTACAATTTCCACCTTAAGAATATTTACCAACTTATGAAGATTTTTATTACAAAATAAAAACAATTAAATAACACTCTTATCAAACCATCAAAGACAAAGTAGATAATTATTCAAAGATGATAAAATAATAACTAAATGACTATTGTTAAAAATAAAAAATTAAATACTTTTTTGAAATAAGACTAAAGACAAGAAAGACATTGAGAAGAATGAAGAAGACTTCACTTTTGAAACAAGGCCAGATTTTTTAAGCTCTAAAACCTTATCAAATCTATAAAAATAAAGATCTTGACACAATGTAAGACCAAGCACACCAGAATAAAATTAAAAGTAACTAAATAAAATAAAAAATAAAAGATAAGATTGAGTAAAAGAGAATAGAACCAAAAAAAATCAAATAAAACCATATAGTACAAAATAAAAAAAACCAAACTTTACTAAAAGAAAGAATCTAAAGCTATACCTAATCAAATGTCTCAAATTGCCCCAATCATTTATAATATTATTTTGTTCAACTATCTTGGAACTTTTTAGAATTTTCTTAATGGTAGATTCTACTAAAATAACCAACCTTGTAGAAGATTCTAAAGATGGACTCCACCATGATAAAAACCTTAAGCCTTTCTAAAAGGTTCCATGGTAGATCCCACATGAATCACCACCCTAACTTCAATTCTAGAAACTTCTTAAAAAAATTCTAAATACATATTTCTATGTGCAAATAATACAAATATCCTATCCATGTCTTATTATGACTAATCTTTGTCTACTAATGTAGAACATCTTCGTTTTACTTCTAATGGTATTTTCAAATAATTTTTTGATAATGAATGAGGTTTTGTACATGTTCTCATGTTGCATCATAAATGGGGTAATCTTTTCAAAGGACTTTGTATTGAAGTTGTGGATATCCATTACCACAACAAAGGTAGTGATGCTCCAAAATATTGTCTACTTCATACTCATCTTGATCATCAATCTCAACCAGTGGTAGTAGTGGTGATTGGTGTCAATCCAAAAAGTGCCTTGGTTCAATATGGAGTTCTTTGAGCTACAAAACATGAAAGATTGGATAGATCCAAATATATGGCAAAAGTTTAAGGTGATATACAAGATCAAAAATTATTACAAAAATGTAGAAAGATTTAAGTCATCGACGTGCTAGCTTATGGATTTAGATTGATGTAGCAAGTAGAAGGTTGGTATTGGAGAGTAATACCTAGTCACCTTTGAGGAAGGTCTTATGTTGTTAATGGTTATTTACATATTACTTCAGTGAATTTTGTACAATAAAAAGACGGTGTCATATCTTGTGCAAGGCTATTGTAACTTATATATAAATTCCTCCATTGTCAGATTATTGATATCAATGGAATAATACAAGATTGTTGGCATAATTGGATGTTGAATATTGTTAAAGAAGAATGGTGAATAATCAATACTTGCTTGAATACTATTATTGTAGGCAAATTCTAAAGACATCAAGTATTCATCCTAATCATTATAATGAACTACCACAAATATCCATAGCATATCAACTAGGATTTGATTTACATTTTGTTATATTGTAATTCGGCTACCATGTAAAAATAATGTGTTTATATATTTGATACACAATATATTAGACAAAATTGTGAGAGCTATAATAGTAGAATATTGTTGCTAATAGAATGTGGATAAATCACTATTTCAAAAAAAAGTTGTTTAAAAAATCTTCTATTAAAATTTATATAACTTTATTTTATTTTGATAGTGACTTTTGAAGTTGATTTTATTGGTAGTAACTTTTATATATTTAGAATTATCTTTGTTAGACATTAGTGATCCTTGAAGTCTTATTTTGTTTCTTTTAATTGATGTTTATGGCATATATTATGTAGAACTTATAAGAAAAAGGATTAGAGAAGAATTTTGGTAGCAAAAAGAAAAGTTAAGGCATCCATATGGATGAATGGAGATAGA